TGCCAGACATTCCTGGGGATGATCACACTGTGACTGATTTTTATGTTAATTCCCTTAACCAAAATAATGGAATCATTCTGAACCCCATATTCTGTCTCCATCAATAACTCATGTATTTGGACTCACTTAGGTACATCAGTCATACTGTCTTTCCTCCTATGTTTAAGGATTTTTAAAAAGTCATCAAGGAACATTCTCCTCTATTAAATGTGTCTCGCTCTATCAACACTTCCCTTCTGGGGTAGAACTGCACTAAATCACATACTGGTATTAATCTGCTATTTTGGGATCAGAGGTTCCCAAGTACCATAACTACATAATTTGATTAACATTCTTGGCTTAATTTTAAGAGCTAATTCAATCAAAGCAAGCTATATTCATTTCCTAGAATAAAATGAAAAATTTAAACCAAACAAATTTGTAGTTTATTTTAAATGTTGACCATTTCTTATTCATTTAGTACTTTTTTTTTTTTTTTTAGGTTTTGTTCCAACTCTGGGTGGCACAGAGTTCAGAATTCTTCAGACGATTAGCCCTATTACTTTCTACAGCTAATTCACCTCCTGAGCCCTTACTTACTCCAGCACTTTTGCCTCATCATATTTTATCTGACGTGACTCAAGGTCTACCTCATGCTCATTCTGCCTGCTTGGAAGAGCTTAAGCGCAGCTATGAGTTCTATCGGTACTTTGAAACTCAGCACCAATCAGTACCCCAGCGTTCATCCAAAACTCAGCAGAAATCAAGAGAACTGAATAATGTTCACACCGCAGTACGCAGCTTGCAGCTTCATCTGAAAGCACTACTGAATGAGTAAGTTTAGAAGCCATATAAGGAAATATCCCCATGGTAGCAGACTTCACTCTTGTCCCATTGTGGTTATTGGCTTGTGTCCTAGACTAGAAAGAAGATGCAAAATTGAGACCTGCAGTATGAAGGATAGTTTATAGTTACAAATGCTGCAGGAAATAACGATATGTAAGTACTATAATTTGTGGGAGTTGTTATAATTTTTATTTTTCCTGATAAAACAGGAAACCTAGAAAGAGAGAAAAAGCTAATGTTCATTGTGTAGGAGAACTGAAATGGAGAAAATTATAAAGAATGAGCTTCATTTAACTCTCTTAAACTGGAACCTGTAAGAAATATCTGTCAGCATAGAATAGGAAGTTATAAGAGGTACTGTACTTGAAAATTGACATATTGCCTTTTTTCTAAATAAATTACAGCAGATTTGGGCATTTTTCTGTAGGAGAGGACAAGCTTTTTAGCTCCAATTGAAGATTAAAATGTAGAATCCATATTTTGTATTTATTGCTTTTTACTTTTCCTAGTGTTATTGGTTCTCTGCCTTTACCTCCAATCTTTTATGTCCCATTTTGGCGGACCTTAATCATTTGAAAATACTGTTTTCTATATGAAGATTTCCAAGTTTAAAAGTTGTATCAAGACATAATATTTGAGTTAATTTATTTCTAATGAAATTCTTGTCCAACAAATTCTCATAGTATAGGACTAGGTCAAATAAATAATTGGTTCATGTTCTGTTAGTAATCCGAATTTAACTCACTGATAAGATTGTAGTTGATGTATCTGACCCCAGATAAAAGGCATGAAGTGAAAGGGGGAGAGCAGCAATCAATTTTGAAGATAAGAAAATAAGGATTTGGTGTCTCAGAAAATCAAAAGTCTAGTTTACCAGAGTGAAGAAGAATATAATGTACAAAAATAGGAAATTAAAGTCAGAAAGGCATTTTAAGAAGTATATTTTCTTACCAGTGTCATTAGTTTTATTACACAATCTTCAGTATATCAGAAAGACAAAGTCATCAATAGCAGGAGGACTAGATCTTGGCTTTTTTGAGAGTTGGGTGCTTTTGGTCCTTATACTCTCAAGAAATAAATCTAAAAATTTATTATTGAGTATAAACAAAACAAAAATGGATAGAAAAGAATTATTAAAATAGCTTTTCTAATATTCTATATTTTTCACTCTAAACTGTCACTTTATTTGACTTTCTCTACATTTTGAAAAGATACCCGGAGTCATTCTTGAGAATAAGCCACATCACTTAACACTTGGCCTGGTGGGGTGGGTACTGGCAAATGTTGGGGGAAACCACAAATCTGTAACCTCAGTCCAAAGAGCATGTCTCTCTCCAGCTTTAGGGGGAGCTCCCTCTGACTGACTGAGGGCTATGTCAGAAATGTGTGCAGGGAAAAGGATTCAGTCCAACTCAGTCTCTTCCCTCTGAACCAGAAGGCTCTCCAGTGACCCTCCATCTCACACACAAGTCTTATCTTATACTCCATGTCTCTTCTCTTGTTAAATATCATGTGCCATGGAGATGCATGTAGAAGTAGCATCACCCAGTGAGTACTGCAGGACCTTGTTGCTGTGTCCTTCAGTAGCAACTGCACCACAAATTGGATGTCATGGAAAAGGCAGTTCCATTTGCCTATTTGGAAGATAACCCCCAGAGTGGTGTCCTTAGAATTGCTCAGCTCATTCATGTCAGGGTCCACCTCTGTCTTGCTCCTTATTAGAGAAAAGAAGAACCTAGGGAAGCTGTTAAGTCGTAGTCAAAAGGTAAAAGACACCAAATTTCTCAGCTTACCTGCCTACTTGTACCAGGTTCTCCCACAATAAGTAAAAGTGTGTACCTGACAGATGCAAACCAGTGCTTACATCAAACCTGACCAGAAAGCCTATGGAGGGCCTCCCCTGGTGGCGCACTGGTTGAGCACTGGGCTGCGAAGCTGCCCGCAGCCTCTGCAGCACTGGTTTGATCCCTGGCCACAGGTGAGGGTCCCACATGGCGCGACAGACCTCTCCTGCCGCGCCCGCTGCTCCCCTCAGCAGTGTATTTCGTCAGTCTGCCCACTCTGGCTCTGGTGAATTCTCTCACCCTCCCGTGCTTCTGACTGTACCCAGTGCTTGTATAAATAAATAAATAAATCTTTAAAAAAAAAAAAAAAAAAGCCTATGGAAGTAGCCATATTCTGCCCAATTTGCTTCCTTTCCCACTCCTTTTGGTACTTCACAGGGTTCTTCACTACTGAGGTCCAAGGTCTCCCTGTCCTAATGGGAGTACCTTCCTCTACAACACGGAAGCAACCTTCTTCAGAAGGACTTCATGTGTGAAATGGAAAAGCTTCAGGGAAAGGGAACACCTAGCAACCAAGCACTAAGTAGCAGGTGGTGATAATTAGCTGAGGTGTTTTTAATCCATCAGATCTAGCTCTGAGTTTGGCTGACAAAAATTAAGAAACTATGTTCCAGTGGTCTGTAACTGCTGTTTAAGAAGGCAGGTGAATACTAACCCAACTCTTAACTCTGTCTCCCACAGGAAATCGGGAGATAAGGCAATCTCCACTGGAGTGGGTGGCAAAGGTTGGTTCATCATCAGAGGAAAACAAGATTTCAGTGGAAAAGTTATGGGAGACAAAGCCAGTTTCTAAAGAATTAATGATTAGCAGTAGAATCAGAAATAGGGAAATTGGACCTCCATGGTGGCGCAAGGGGTTAAGCACCGCACTATGAAGCAATCCACAGCCTCTGAAGCATGAGTTCGATCCCCGGCCAGCCAGGGACCTCTCCTCGCTCACCCGCTGCGCCCCTCAGCAGTGTATTTCAGTCCATCTGCCTGTTCTCTTTCGCAACTCTGTCTCTGGTGAATCCTCTCACCCCCCACACCTCTGGCCTGTACCCCAGCTCTTGTATGCATAAATAAATAAATCTTAAAACAAAAAACAGAAATAGGGCACATTGGAGTGCATTAGAACAAGGGAAAATGACTCAGAAGGAAGAGCGCTGCACTCCTTGGATATGAGAATGAAAAGAGGTGCTTTGTACTTTGAGTAGAGATCTTGGTTTATACATAGGAAGTGTATTTCCGCTTTAAAAAAAATATATGTATGTAGAGGGGACAAAATGTATATCTATGCTGTAACATGTCAACTTTCTAGAGAATATACAGTCGCAAACTATCATATCTTAATTGCTTTACAGCATTACTAACACACAACTTACGAAAGTGTTACCTAAAAAGTGTTTTGTATCCCACATTTCAGAAGCATTTTGTGTTTCATTCCTCCCTTTGGCTAGTCTCCTTCCTGTTCCCACTCTCACTTGCTGTCACTGATAAATTTGCTTTCTCTCTTACCTGAAAATCTTCACTGGTTTCAGAGTATAGCCCCTTAAAGACTGTATAAAATATTGTATAGAAAGGGTTTTCAGTAACCCAACTACAGTCTACTTTTCTATCTTTCTCATACTTTTCCTTCAACCATGCCAAACTATATACTCTTTCACCTGTTCCATCTGGAATTGACCTTAACTTTTATACTTCTTCAAATTTTATCCATTTATCAATAGTACTTCAACCACCTCTTCTTAGTTATTTACTCTGTGTATCCATAGTTGACAGTAACTTCTCTTCTGAATTCTTATTACATTATCTGTGTCTCTCTGTGATATATACTGCTGTGCCTGGATTCAGGCCAGCTTTACAGTTTACCAGCTGTATAATTCTGGGCAAGTTTCTTCAATTCTATGGACCTAATTCCTCATCTATGAAACAGAAATGTTAATTACAGTAACTTTATGATACTGTATTTGTTTTTTGTTTGCTTGTTTGTTTCTTTATGGTACTTTATTATATGTGCTATAAGTTTTTTTTAGATAGAAGAGGGGTTGAATGTATCCTTTTCATTCATAAAATGCCTAGTATGTATGCAAGAAATATTTGTTGAATAAATATGATACTCTTTATAAGCTTTTTAAAAATGGTAAAATACACATACATACAATTTAATGTTTAACCATTTTTAAGTGTGTAATTCAATGGTAGTAATCACATAAACACTGCTATGCAGCCATCACCACTTTTAGTCCTCAGAACTTTTTTTCATCTTACAAACTTATTTCTTAAGTAGGCTTTGTAAATGATAAATTTTCCATTTTTAGAAGTCTGTTTCTGTTTTTCTTTATTACTCAGGGTAATAATTCTTGAAGATGAACTTGAAAAGCTTGTTTGTACTAAAGAAACACAAGAACTAGTATCAGAGACTTATCAAATCCTAGAACAGAAATTAAAGTTGATTCAGCCCCACGTTCAAGCAAGCAACAGTTGCTGGGAAGAGGCCATTTCTCAAGTGGACAAACTGCTACGAAGAAATTCAGATAAAAAAGGTACCTAATGAAAGATTTCTCACACATTTATCAGACAGTCTTATTCCATTCAATGGAGTTTTAATTTGTAGGGTTTTATTAAGTGAGTTTCTGCATCTCTATGATGAAATTAATCTCACCAAATTACTTAGTTTACCCAAAAAAAAAAAAAAAGGTTGAATTTATATTTACAAATTGATACAATATAGTCTTGGCTCTTATTTTGTAATTTAAAAAATGACTATGATTTGAAAGTTCAGAGAATCATAAATCTTTGTAGAACTTAAATGAAGAGCAGGATTTTTAAATATTCCATTATTAGAACTTTCAGAAATTCTTTTCTAGTTAGGGTCAATAATAATGACTTTGGTGTACAGGGACTAGAAACTAAGTTTTGCTTTCAACATAAAATACTATTTCAATCATACAGAAATAGTATGCAAATGATATAGTAGGTAGTATTGTATATGTGTTATTTAGGGTCTTAAATGGGGCCTACCTGGTAGCCTAGGGGTTAAGCCAGCACTATGACTGCTAGGGCCTGAGTTCGATCTCCAGCCAGCGAACTAACAGACCTCTTCTGTCTCGCCCATTGCTCCCTTTAGCAGTGTATTTCAGTAAAATCTGCCTGTTCTGCTCTCCCTCTGTCTCTGATGAATCCTCTCAACCCCTGCACCTCTAGCCTATACTGTAGCTCTTCTATGCAAAAATAAATTAAAAAAATAAAAGGGTCTCAAATGTATTGTCATTATTTAATAGTAACATCAGACTACCTTGTATTGATTGCTAAGTAAAGTTTTCCACTAAACTACTTTCATTTGATCAGGTTTTATACTTCTTTTACATCACTAAATTTATTTTATTTTATTTTCAAAGTATTTATTTATTTATGCAAGAACTGGGGTACAGGCCAGATGTGTGGGAGGGTAAGAGTATTCACCAGAGACAGAGCAGGGAACAGAACAGGCAGACTGACGAAACACGCTGCTGAGGGGAGCAGTGGGCGTGACAGGAGAGGTCTGCTGCGCCATGTGGGACTCTTGCCAGCCGGCTGGCGGGGATCAAACCAGTGCTGCTGAGGCTGCGGACAGCTTCACAGTGCGGTGCTTAACTGCCTGCACCACCAGGGGAGGCCCTACATCACTAAATTTAATTGTAAATGCTCAGCATATGGTTTTGTGCTAGAAACAAACTCCATTACCATGTTTATCCCTTGGACCATTATTATGAAGTTAGTCAGACTTATGCATAAAAATTATTAATTATACTATTTTAATTACTTGTATGATGTAATATTGCTTAATAGTTTATTGGGCTGCTCCTACTGGATTTTGTCCAGACCTCTTGTTAAGTAGAGACAATGGTGAAAGGTTGATGCCTAGATATGAGCCTTAAATAACCCTGTGATTAGTTGCCAACACCAATTTTAAATTATCGATGTTAAACCCACCTGGATGATCTTTGCAAGCTATTCACTTGTGAAAGTCACTTCCAATTCTATTTTCTAAGAGTAAAAATAGTTCAAGTTCAAGATTGACATTTGGTTCTTTTTTTATGAAGAACAAGTGCTCTATCATGAGATGCGAGGAACAAGTTAATTTCTTCATTAATTATTTCAGAATGTCTACTGTGTGCCAGATACTATGGAGGGGTAAAGAAGGGAGAGAAAATTAGATGATTGCCTCCAAGAGTTTAAATTTTAAATCTACTGATGTTAGTTATTAACTTTCATATCCATAATTTTTTAATAAATCGAAAAGAGTCAAAGCAACTTAGACTATGAACTTGGCAAAATATTAGTACTGAGAATACTTTTTTCAGTTATTTCTCTGTGGCCTGTTTCTTTTTAAGGTAAGACTGAAGTGGCATGTGAAAACCCACGGTGTACTATAGTACCTTCGATGCAGCCTACTCTCCATATTGCAGACAAAGATCCAATCCCTGAGGAACAGGTAAAATGAAATCGGCCCACCCCACCCCCAAAACCTACCTATTTTTCTGTGACATGGATAATTGTTGAATAAATTGTTGACTTCATGTTTTTAAGCTTCAAAATTACAATATATAATATATTGAATTTATACCAATTACTAGTTCTCATATCTCCCAGAAGATTTTCTTGTTATTTATCTCTAATTCTCTGTTTCTTAAATACTTTTGAAAGTAAACACATTTAAAAATAATACATTGGCAAAGGTACATTTGGAGTGCTGGAGATATTTTATATTGATCTGAGTAGTGATTACCAGTATATATACATATATATAAAAAGCTTGTATGCTTAAGATTTTTCACTGCATGTATTTACACCTCATTTTAAGAAATAATTTTGTAATGATTGCACTAGATATTGACAAAGATTTCTTTGGCTCATCCTAAGGAAAACTGCTTTTCCTTAAGTCATATTATCTATTTAAAATTCTTAATTGCAAATAGAAGCCTACCCTACTTAATTTAACAAGAAGGAATTTATTTAAAAATATTAGATAACCAACATATTTCAGAGGGCCATATAACCAGGCTTGAACCAGGTTCAGATAAGCAGCCAGAATCACTCAAAAGAACTGCTCCAGTGGGGACATCACTACTACATCACTGGGCACAGACATTGCCACTTGCTACATCAATGCTGAATAGTAAGAACTACTTTCAAAGCTTCTATCTTTGGAAACTTGATTTGCTACCATCCTTGCCAGAATAGATATCTAAAGGTGTCTGCTTCTTTTATAACAAATTTCTGAATCCGATCTGATGCATGCACACCTGGATTAGAGGATCTCAAGTCATTTGCCTGATCCATAAAAGTAAGAGAGGCTCACTAAGCAAGGGTCCTGTCCTCTGTACACCAGATGGAAATCCATAGATGAGGTATTGCCCAATCCTAGGAATAGGTTCAAATTTCCAGAAGTGAGAAGAAAAAACCCTCAAATCTCTACCATAAGAAGAGAAACAATTCAGCACCTCCCTGAATCACCAGTCCTTATAATTTTGATTGTTAGCAACAGAACTAATGACTCTAATTTTGACTAGATCTTAGGATGGTATCATGGTAGAAAAATAACCGTTGAAGGTGTGCTTCAATGTTTAGCTCCTATTTATTTATCTCTAGAGAGATGTTGGCTTTGTTTCCCCGGCTATACTTTAATAACCTGTGCAAGAAGCCTCATTTATTTAATCTCACAGATGGCTAGGTGGTTCAATACATGAATTCTAATAGAAAATTGTCTGCTTGAAGTAAAGTGCTTTTTCTTTTATTCATTTTCAGGAATTAGAGGCTTATGTAGATGATTTAGACATGGATAATGATTTCAGAAGGGATGACTTTTATTACTTGTCACAAGAAGATAGAGACAGACAGAAACGTGAGCATGAGGAATCTAAGAGAGTACTCCAAGAATTAAAATCTGTGCTGGGATTTAAAGCATCTGAGGCAGAAAGGCAGAAGTGGAAGCAACTTCTATTTAGTGATCATGGTAAGCGCTGACTTAAGAGTAAAACATTTTTTCAATGTAGGGGTTTCTTTCTCTTCATCTATGAGTCTTATTTTAGCTATAAATTTCTTATAGCTTTAATTTTAGGATTCTATCACTAAACAATAGTACTCTTCCAAACCCAAAATCAGTTTGATCAATAAGAGTAGTATATAATCAAATTGTAAATATAAAGTCCCACTTTTTCATCAGTTATTTGATTTTTTTTTTTTAAACATTTTATTTATTCATACAAGCACTGGGTACAGTCAGAAGCACGGGAGGGTGAGAGAATTCACCAGAGCCAGAGCGGGGAGCAGAGCAGGCAGAAGGACCAAAGTACACTGCTGAGGGGAGCAGCGGGCAGCAGGAGAGGTCTGCGCGCTATGTGGGACCCTCGCAGGCAGTGGGGGATTGAACCGGCGCTGCAGAGGCTGCGGGCAGCCTCGCAACCCAGCGCTCAACCACTGCGCCACCGGGGAGGCCCAGTTATTTGATTTTTTTTATTTAATTTGCCATGGATTGGCAGTGAGTTGAATATTTGAGTATTTTAATTAAAATGTTATTTTTACCTACCCCTTTCCACCAGACCATTGCTATTGATGTGTGTTATAGTTGTCTGTTTATCTTTTAGGGATTTTTGGCTTTGTTCTGCTACAAATTAGTTGTGACTATTTAGAGGAGAGGTAAATCAAGCACTGTCACTATCTTGCCACTCTTAAAAAATGTTTTTAAACTTAGTGAATTTGATATTCTAAACTGTTCTTCTTATACTGATATTATAAAATACATCAATGAAAACAAAATTAATAACTTTTCACTATGGAAACAAATGAATTAAGACCACTTAGCTACATCAATAAGGTAGCTTAATTGATTTGAGTACTTTAGTAGATGGGAAAAGAGAAGATGCTTCTCTGCATGTTGTCTCCACACTTAGGTTTGGACAAAGTTGGATGACTGGCAAAATTCTTTTATGTTTTATGTTTCCCAGTCTTTTCTTTAGCTGAACTTTATAGGAGGCAAGGCAGAGAAGGCAATGTCAAACCAACTAATCCTCGTTGAACAATTAATTCTTATGGATTTCTGAGAAAATAGAATGGAATTTCCCTTCCATTTTAGAGTATGTGGAGCCTCAAAAGTAGTAACTCCCTTCTCTTTTTCACTAGAAGTATATAGGTTACCTATACTTCTAGAAAGTTCCTCAGGGTTCTCTTTTCTTCTCTTAAGAGCCCTACCATTCTGTTTTGTCCAGATCTACATCCTTGATTTTATTCTCCTTCTTTCTTCCCAGGTCCTTAAATTTGATTATGCTCATATATTAATATGGCCACTCAGGAGATTTCCATTTTTAGTATCTTTTTCTTCTAAGCTATCCTTAGATAGCTTCTAAGATAGCTTCTAGTCTTGAAAGCTTCTTCCAGATTTGACATTGCTTTGATAATAGCTCTATCTTTACAACCTACATGGCTTATCCTTTCTTATTATGTTAAAATAAACTCCTTTTCCTGGTTTCAGCCCTTTCTGTCATATGTGTCCATTGTATCCAACTGTATTTCCCATTATTTCTAATATCGTCTAGTTATTTTCATCGAACTAGACGTTGATTCCACAAACTTGCTGTTTTTATTCATAGGTTGCTGATCCCTTTACTAAGCATTCTGTCTCCTCCATCAAATTTTTTTCCCTACCAGTCTCTCCTCCAGGAGTCCTCCTCTGACTGCCAGAGTGGTGCCACCTCTCCTGCCACTTCCGAGTCTCACACAAGAGGGTCAGTGTAGTGAAATGAAAAGCAGTCTTGAGAAACAAGGCATATAGGTGATTAAGAACTTCTGAGAAGTTGTAGTAGTTCCTACAACCTCCACATTTGTATATTGAGCCTGCAAAAACCAGAGACTAAGAATATGATGTTTTAGGCACTGTTGCTTTCTCTTTGTTCAATTTTTTTAATCTCTGTCATTAAATGAAAATCTCATAAATAAGGGTTTTATTATCCCACATAGTATTCATTCAGCAAACTGTTTCTTCAACAAGTAGTTATTTGAAGCACTATTTAGTGGTATATTCTTTTTTTTTTAAGATTTATTTATTTATGCATACAAGAGCTGGGGTGTCAGCCAGAGGTGCAGGGAAGGTAGCATGAGAGGATTCACCAGAGACAGAGTGGGGAGCAGATCAGATGGACTGACTGAAATAGACTGCTGAAGGAAGCAGCGGGCAAGACAGGAGAGCTCTGCTTCGCCATGTGGGTAGCTCCCTGGCCGGGGATGGAACTTGTGCTGCACTGGCTGCGGATAGCTTCATAGTGCTGAGACTTAACCCCTTGCGCCACCAGGGAGGCCCTATTTAGTGCTATATTATTAGTACGTAGATCAATAGACAAAAATCCCTACATTGCTACAGTCTTAACACACCCTCAATGGACCCATTTTACAGATATCACCCTATTTAATTAGCAATAATCAGAATATCAACTTCTAGCATACATTGTATTCTTTAAGAACTAGTACATTTGTAAACTAAAAATGTGCAGGAGTACTGAAAGTAGCATTGTATATAAATATTTCTTTTTATTTTACTTTAAATTATCCTTTGACAGTATGGGCAAAGATATAATGATAAGAGAAATATGTATCTTTTTCAGGTATGTGCTTTTCTAGTTTACATATGAAAGGGCAGTAATGCTGTCATTTTGTGGAAATAAGTAAAAAGCTGCTGATATCATAAAATGCTTTTCCTATGACAAATACCAGTACATCTTCCAGAGTTGTTTTCATCTCTGCCTACAGGGGTAAAGTCCGAATGGAATTAGAGAGGGAAATTCTACACTGGAACCTGCTGTGGCCATATTTTTCTGCTTCTCTAGTGGAGTTACGGCAGCTTAGGGATCTGTTTCTTGGAAATGGACACATTTTACAAAATTATTTTTTAAGTAAACGCCAGATCTTCAAGAAGCACTTTTTTCCTTCCGTCATGCTTCATAATATATTGCATTGTACTAACCCCTCATGCTGGGAGGAGAGACTGCCTAGCAAGCAACCCACTGCCTACTAACATCAAGAGGGGCTAAATAAAACTTCATTTTCCTTGAAAGGACAACTTCTGTCGTATGCATATATATATATATATATATTATATTTACATATTATGCTTTGTATTGTAGTTGATCTTGAATGCAGATTTTATTTCATTTGATATTTTTCTGTGGCATTACAAAGTATGTACAAAAGTAGGCTTTACTCTCATCAGCATCTTGTTAGGTAGTTGGCAAGTAAGTTGAATTTGTATATTGTGCTATTTTTCCATGCTGTTTTACCTTGTAAACATACATGTTAAAGATAAGATTATGACCTGGATTACTTTAGGCCTTTTATATGACACTTTATCATGCTGCTGCTTACTCTTGAATATAATAGTTATTATACTAATAACTGTTTATTCCTTATGCTGCTGCTTATTCTTTAATATAATGATTCTCAAACTTTAGTGTGCATCAGAATCAAGTGGAGGACTTACAGAACATAGCTGATCCCCACTCCCAGTTTCCAACTTAGTAGATCAGGGGTGGGTCCTGAAATTTATATTTCTTCCAATTCCTGGGTGATGCTGACTGATTCTGTTGGTTAGTGGGCCACACTTTGAGAACCACTGCTGTAATTTTTGAAATTACAAAACCTCATTTAAATCATCATCAAAACCTCATTTCATTTCTTAGGCATTTTATCTCAAAGTTTTCTGGATTGATAAATCTACACTGACTTTACTAGGAAATTTTATTTAGCTTTTCCTTATTTATTGTTCCTTATAAGAAAATAACTACTGGAGGTTTAAAGTTTAAATCATTTCTGGGTCCTTAGTTATTATTTTTCTTTCTTTTTTTTTTTTTTTCCTTTTCTTTTGAAGCTGTGTTGAAATCCTTGTCTCCTGTAGACCCAGTGGAACCAATAAGTAATTCAGAACCATCAGTGGATTCAGATTTGGGGAGAGTTGGTAAAAATGATACTGAAGAGGAAAATAGTAAACCCTCCACAACTGACAATGAAATAAATAATAGGACTGAGTGTTTATGTGAAACCCCTCTAGAAGGTAAAAATAAAGACCATTCTGCAAATAAAGTCTTCCTCCAAGAAACTGAAGAAAGATTGTGTTACCATGGTGAGAGTGAAGATGAATCTCAGCAGGCAGATGTAGGTGGCCTGGCCATTGCCTATCCAACTCCCAGGGACTCGTTACAGCCCTCCATTAAGCAGAGGCTGGCACGGCTACAACTGTCACCGGATTTTACCTTCACTGCTGGCCTGGCTGCAGAAGTGGCTGCTAGATCTCTCTCCTTTACCACCATGCAGGAACAGACTTTTGGTGATGAGGAGGAAGAACAAATAATACAAGAAAATAAAAATGAGGTAGAGGAAAAGTAAAAACCAAGATTCACATGAGTATTTTAAATTTAAAATTTCTTTTATGAATGTGTTTTAGCTTCAAGGCTAGATATTCCACTGGAAAGGGAAATGAGTTTACATTTACAACATATAAGGCTAAGATGTGAATTTACGTCAGTTTGAGCAACGGGTCTGAAAATAGTAGTTACCTATGTGTGGCAGATCTTTTAGGAAATAACAGAAAGGTAAGGGCTCTTTTGAATAAACTGCTCTTTTATTTGCAGCACAACTGATCGATCTCGGAAATTCTTTAAGTACTTTTAATAAGAAATGAATTCATCATTTCTTGCCAGAATTTACTACCGGGAAATGTCTGGGATAATTCCGTTGCAAGAACATTTAATATGACTCCTTTGTACTGTATTCTTGCAGTTAATAACTGCAGCTATTCTGTCAATAACAAGTTGTTTGTATTTATTTTTGTTTATACCAATCTTAAAACAAAGATACAGGTTCTAAATAAAAAAAAAATTGAGTTCATACAATTCATGTGTGATGAGGTTTGGAACAAAAAAGTAGTTTCAAAAGTACTTGGGTAATGACATGTTTCTTATGTTTCCTTGTGGATGTGTACATTCAGCAGGTTTTTTAGATGTCTTTTTAGATGATCTTTAAAAGAAAAAATTGTACCATTTTAAGAATTACCCTTTCAATTTTTTTGGTTTCATCTTTTTCTGTTCTTGTTGTAATTGAAAGAGATGTCGTCGAAGTTGGATCCTGGTGTCCAGTGCCCTATCCATAACTTTGTAGAAAGCGCTTTTATTCAGTTTGGCTACAGATAATTGGGTACCATTAACACAAACAGGTCTAGTTGCTTTTTATTTCTAGCCTGAAGCTATACCATCTCCACCTTAATGAGATTCTGGAAGCATCTTGTCAGCTTCCTGAAGAACATCTTTAGCTCCTTAGTACTTAATTTACAAACTGCCTCTTAAAAAGGTTGCTTTCCAGTTATACAGTGTCATCTGTTTTGTGTTGTGATTGCATTTTCAAAGAATGATATTTTCAGGAGTATAATGTTTTTTTTGAAGCCTATAGCTCTTCTACACTGACATAGTTTATAGACATTATTTGGGGAACCTGTAGAAATAAGTTAATTTATGCTGCTGTCCTGAAAACTACATGATAAATCCAGATTATCTTTAGAGTTAAGACACACTTTCAAATTCCTGTAATTTAGCACTTTGAGTAAGTAAATTTACATATATTTACAGGAATATTTTTAATAATCTAAGGAAATTTATTTTTTATCCTTAGGAAAGACTTGGTTCTGCTTTGTATGAATAGTACAGATCCTCTTATACGCTAGTTAATTCTGCCTATTGCCAAAATTTCTGGAACTTGTCCATAATTAAAATCTTAGGATCAATATCTTAAGGTAAATCTGGTTTACCGCTTACGAGAAAAAGTTAACTAAATTTCAAGAAAAAATCTTGTATTATAACTGGCTAACATATTCTTAAATGATAATACTTAAAGTTTACTTTCTTTTTAATTGGTTTGCCAGCTCTTTATTTTACTTGGATTTAGAAGTAGCACATATGGAAACTCTCAGTAACCATTCTTTTAGTCTATAACCATTGGAAGAATAATTGGCAAATAATTTTTAATTATTTAATTTTATTTTTATTATACCAGTTTGGGAAAAATATCTTCATAATATTGTATCAGCTTTATTCAAGCCATCTAAGATGATAATTTTTTTTATTTTGAAAGACTAATTTTAATCAGGAATTTTTAATCATCTGTCTGATCTACTTTATTCATTGTTACCTATTTCCACAAAATTCTATTTGTTGAAACCATGATATAAGGATCTTAGAACTTTAATTGAATGTTTTTTGTGTTTTCATCTTTTAAAGTATTTCTAAGATATTATCATCCCTTTGAAAATTGCTGGTTTTCTCTTATAATAACCTAAAAGTCAGTGTTTCTCAGGTTTTATTTGGGATATCCGTATTAGAGTAAATTAGAGGTGTTTATTTTTTAAAGGTAGATTTTGGATCATATTCCAAATCAGTTTTAGTTGATCATTTTGGAATGAAATCTAGGTTATGTTTATACACAGTAAAATCTAAGAACTTTTATGTAGAACTTTGCTCTTGCCATTAGTACCTTGGGAAATAAAAACAAACAGTAATATAAGTAGAAGCTTTTGTTGTTACTTTTCTAAAAATATTTCACTTTGTCCTGTCAGTCTTTTGAGTAGTTTTTATTAGCTACCATCCTATCTTCTAAAGAAACCCTCTGGGAAAAAATATTTTGTGGGGGAAATTGCTAATTTTGCTTTCCAAATTTACAGTTGTATTTTGACACAGTAATTCTTGCTAGGAGTAATATCCAGATAACTTTTAATATAAACATTTCCATAGTTTGTTTAACATGTACAAACCTAGTACTTGGAATGTAGGATAGAGGCAACTTATTTAGGTCCCTCTTGAAGAAGGAGTTTTACCCTTTGTTTGGAAAGTCATGTCAATAAATCATCTGGTGATGGTTATCATATCTTAAATCCCTTTTTCCCCCCAGCTTTCACTAAAACTCTAAATAGCTGGTATATCTTGGGCCAGATTCTTGCTAGCCTTTTATATATGATCCTCTGCTTATTTTCACAAGTTGTATTATCTGACTTTGTAAGTTAAGTCCTCATTGCAGCATCTGAATATACTTCATTAGTAACTGATGCATGATGCCAAGTTTCATTTCTGAAGTTATTAGACAAGAAAGTGGGTGAAAACTTATTTAATGCATTACTATGGAAATGGCTAAGGTCTAAGGCTTTAATACAGAAGAATACATCAGAGTTTAAATCCCAGATCCCTCATCTAAAAGCTAAGGTGCAGCTGATATTATAATTTCTGACTTCACAGAAGTAACTTAAAAGGAGAAAAGCTTTTGAACTGTAAAACAAGAGGTGATTATAAATATGCCAGTAAAATAGGTAAAAAAAATTTGAAACTCAATTTTCTTAAAAAATATTTTGTTCACATAATATTGAATAAATGTGGTATAACTTCCAATGTTAAGCCACAAAAAAAAATCAAGTTCTGATGCACTTTACAAAGTTGTAAGTCAAGGAATTATTAATCAGAAGGTATCCTAGAAATCAATCTAGTAACTTTTCACATACCAAATATTTTGATAAATTATTAGAAGGCATAAGTGGAGAAGAGTTTAGCTGATTTAATTTAATCATAGTATATTGTTTCTATACCCAAACAAAACAAGAAAACAGTAACTGAATACAAAACTGTGGTGTAGCTCAGCTTATTATCTGAACTGAAGTAGATATCATGCCATGAATGACAAACAGACACCATAGCGATTGATTTATTCTTCTAGTTCAATTTATAAGGATATAGCTATGTACTGAACACATATATTAGAAAATAAAGCTCACAAATACTTTGGAAGAGAAAATATGCCAAAAATGCCCAAGTACAATAATAGTTCATTAATCTGTCATCACAGTTAAATGCTAACTTGCATTAAGTTAATTCTTCAGGTAACTGAGGCAGATCCACTTAATCATTATATCTTATAATGGTTTAATAGGAAATATTTGGAAATGTACTTTCTAACTACCCACTTTCTCTAGAATACTTAGAATATGATTTAATATATTGTCATCTTTAGGATCATTGTTTCTATTGTGGGGGTAATGAACAGAAATTTACTCTCTGGAACCACTGAAATAGTATATGTCATGTGCCCATTTACTACATGACCCTTCGTTGCTATGCTTTGTGAGTTATGTCTGTTTTTTACAGTTTCTATCTTCCCTTATAATCAGCTGTCACTTTTTGCTGCTATCTTGTGTGCCTGCTTCCTGCACTAGGCCCCTAAATTTGCTGCTTCTAATCTGCTGTGGACTGAGAAACCAGATTGCCAAGCTTGCTAGAATTGTGTCTAAAATAAGAGTAAGTAGACTGAAAGAATGCTAAGGGGCTTCTCTGTCAGTTAAAGTGCATGGACTTTATGGTACCTTTTTGGCTGCTTAGCGTACTTTTGTTAGTCTCTTAATTCTTTACTGAGAAGTTGCTAAAAACACAGATGCTAAAAATCACTGTGATTGCTATATAATTGAAGCATTAGAGTTCAGTTCTTCTACATTAATGTTTCCAGGACTGTTAATAAATTTAGCTATAAAAGAAAATTTAACTATCTTTTTGTAAATCATTGTGTATATTTTAGGAAAATTTAAATATTTTGTTCTTACTCATTGTTCCTAGTACAGTATACATACTTAAACGTATAAATGTGACTTCAATTCTGTTCACCAAGATATTCTAGAAATATTGGTTTGAGTCTGAACATGCCTGACCAATTTAGTAAGACCTGGCTAACTGAATATTTGGGGAATGAGTCATTCAAGATATCCATGTTTTTAATGCTTAAACCTCTTTAAGCATTAAATTTTGGAATTATTTCTGAAGAAAGTCTTTGTGAAACAATATGGTTGACATTTTAAACAATATATAAAGTATATTTTAATCTTTCTTGATGTCAAAATGATCATTATTAACATTAGTTATACTTTGATAGACTAGTCAAGCACTCAGAGCTACTTGCCTGAAATGGCTCCATTCTGCTAACATTTTAGATTATTGTCTTTGTTTGCTAATAGTAGTTTTAAATCCTCCATTTATATTACTGCTTGCTTAAGTATGCCCATAGCAGTTGCCTTTCTCCACCTTCATAATGCTCCTCCTGATCCACTTTGGTTTTGGAGACCAGGTGACTAAGACAAAATGATGTATAATGTAAAAAGTAAATTGACCCAGAATGAAGATTGAACTGAATTATACTTAAGTGCATGGATTTTGTGACCTCTATTACTCATTTCATTGCTGTCTTTAAAGTGAAGTTACTAGATTAAATACCTCCTATCCAAATAGAAGAGATGCTATTGTACAAAAACTGCCACTTATTTCCATACTTTACGGTCTCTGTATTTCTAGTCCTCTAATTTTTGACTCTGATTTAAGCCAGTCCACTGAATTTAGCATTCAGTAGTACTTTCTGTTTGAATTGGATGCCACATACTACTAAGAATCTCTTTGGCTGGGTTGCTTTCTCTTGTTTGATTTTGTCTTTATAGAAATGTATTTTCACTTCCAAAACATGCAGTAGGTTGAGCCCTGGAAAATAAAACATTCATTGTTGCTATCTCAGAGAGAATTGAGAAATAATTAGGTTTTTAGACTATAGGCAATTATTACCACAAAGAATTTATTCTTTGATTATGTTGATTATGTTAATTTTTAAGATAATATCTTGATAGTTGCATTTTCAGTGTCTATATTATCAATTCAACATCAGTTGAATTTTGATTCCATTAAATGTATGTTAAAAGCTTGCCAAAAGTGATCAGTGGTAGATACTCGTTCTATATTTTGCACGTTCAAATTAATCAAGCATGGTGATTTTTCTCTTGCACGAAAAATAAACATGAAATATATATATATGTAACATGTATGTTACAATGTTTGCAAGTAAATAGCAAATCTGCCAAGGAAGGATATAGCCTAGCATTGAAGAACGTAGTTTTACTAGTAGCCTTTAGTAATTGTATGTTGATTCATCATTCCATCATATACAGGGTAATTGAAAAATTATAGCCATACCTCAGTCAGCTTTCAGTTTTTTTATGCTACTGAAAAGAAACTATGGTATAATATTTACTTTAAAAAAATTATCCAAACCAATTTCTTGAAATGAGACTGCCATTACAGAACAGATAGTCATTATGCCAAACCTGGGTTGGTGATATAAGGAGAAAAGTTCTCTTTGAGTATAGTTGTGAGGGGAAAGTAATTCTACTCAGTGCAATTGCTATAAACCAAAAAGAGGGCAAATTAATTCCAGGATTCATACATACCAAAGTTTTAATGTGAATGAGGAATTGAATTTGTGGATGTTCATGTACTAAATTAAAATGCACACTTTTTTAAAGTGTTATATACATTTTAACCGGTTAGCAATTAGTTTGTTTCATCTCTGTTACTGAATTTCAATGGGTTGTAGAAATACATAATTCTATAAGTTATGGTTATAGAAATACATATTTTCTCTCATTTATATCTTAAGAGTTTCTCAAAGGATAATTTTATTATATTTGACTTTATATTTTTCACTTTTGTAGCATTTCCTAAAGGTTGTTTATCTATAAGTGATTTATCATTGAACATTTTTTCTAAAGCTAAAATATTTATTATAAGCTTATTTATTCTTTTATAATATCTGAAGAGATTACAAGACCCTTTTTCACATTTCCAAATAAATTCCTAAATTAACTCCATTTCTAATTCTAGTATTTTCTGCACCTTTATTGTACCAGCTTGTACCTTTTTTTCATACTATGACTAAAATTATGCTTACTAAGTACTAGCATTTGGCAACATAAAGCTCAGAAATGTTACTCCCATCCCTTAAAGACTGGTGTACGGTCCTGGTAAAGCCCTGGAGTTCCATGTGACCGAAGAGCCCAGAAGTCTACCTGAGATGAAAGCACTCCCAAGGAGTTTGGTATTGTTTGGGTTTGTTCTAGGTATGGTCCCAGGGATCCCAGATCAAACCAGGCCCCTGGGCCTATCCTAGAACCAACCTAAACTCGCGCATCATTCCTGGAACATCAAGAGTATATGAAGACTGAAGATAATCTGAGGCTGACTAGACATCCTATGTTCACCAAGATTCACATTTTTGTAAAATGTGCCTACATTTTAATAAGAATTGGTTGGCTAATCCTTATGAAAGAAAAGTTTTACCGCACTTTAACGTAATTGTCACAATAGAAATGTGACAATGTAATGTGGCTATTAATTGCCAGTGAGAATAGTTCTTGTACCATTTACCAGATACCTATTTTTAGATAAATGACTAGGCCACTCAAAAAAAAAAAATTCTTCCAATTAATGGTTTTTTTTTAAGACTCTCTACTCAACAATATTTTATCAGTCTCATTTAACAAATTGCTCACAGTTTCCAAAAAGCATTTGGTCTTTGCCCTCTGGTTCCAATGCTAAGTAAGTGATTTTAAACTTTTGTTTCTGAAGACTGATGCCTTTTCCATTTAATTGAATCCACCACATTGCTTTGAGCTCACTTTTTGGGGTTCAGATCTGAGAAGAACCTGTGCATCATTTACAGACACAATGTCTCCTGTTAAACTTACTCTAGGCTAATTTCAGAATTTGATGTAGTTGAAGACAAATTAAGATGATAGAGTGAAAATGGGTTTTTATCTCACATTTTATAATGGCACTTTGCAGACTTCAGGTGATCTAGTTGGTTTATCACCTGGTTTCATATCATAACCATTACAATGCTATAGTTACATACATGTTTTTCTGTTTAAAGACATGCAAGGACCCCAAATCCAAGGGCTCTGGTATACAATAAAAATGTATACATTTGGTAATAATGGCATTTAAATAGGTTTAGCCCATGTTTGAAATATTTGCCAACTCATCAGGTATTCCACATGTGAAAGGCACCTGAAGCTGTGCTGTTCCTCCAACCTTTGTAACACCAGAAAAACTGGGTCAGTGTATGATTCTTTATAATAAGACCGTGAGCTCATTCAGAACTCAACCCTAGGCATAGTTCTGTACTGCATTCTTCACATAGATGTTTCATCCCGAGGATTCTTATTATTTTTGCCTTATTATGTCCACCCTTTCAATGTTTTTCTTTTTGTACAGTGTTCTTCTGTTTGCGTAAACCAAAACACTGTACATGTTACTATGTTTATGTAACATTTTTTGATAAAACAATCAACTGATTCTAGTGACCTTTAAATTTTTATTTCTTTTAAAGCCAAATGACTTCAATGTTTTCATTGTCTCATAAATTCACTCTCATTTTTCTCTAATGAGCTATATAGATTTAATTAGGTAAACCTTACATTCAGGTTCTTGCAGAATTTATGGCATTTTTTCCTCACCCAAGCACGGAAATGTTCTAACATCAGTAATGTTGTGTCAGTGCACTAATCTGTAAATGTGACATTGCCTGAAATGTGGAACCCATCTTATGTTTATGTAAAGTAAGTATTCTCAGTATCTGTGGGGGGCCTTTTCACTCTCAGCATTGTTAAATATCAACACTGAAAATATGAATTTGTGTACTGTTGTAGGGTTGGGACTTATTAAGATAGTGTTTCTAAATCTGCCTTCAGATACTTTTCTCAAGTTATCTTTTTTTAATATTTGAAAATATTCTTTCAAAGATTTTAATTTTTACTTTTTTACTAGTTGTGTTTTATATAAAAGAACTATACATTTCCCAACCCTACTTGAAGGCTTGATATTATAACCTTTCTGAAACAGTATTTTCTTTCATCACTGTGTATTTTATCATACTGAATATTTGTCACTGTTTTAAAGGACTTTACAGTAACCAATAGTAGGTTTGTATATGTCTGTAGTATTGTTCTTCCTAAGCTTAAAAAATCCAATAAAAAAAATTGTACTACTTTGTTATCTTTTTTGAGTTTGTCTTTTTTCTTCTGGTGTTTGCAACCTGAATTAGCCAAAAGGTAAAAATCCTTTTTCTCTTCCTTGTGTCCCTTTTTTATTTCTATTATGGATTTTTCAGAATTTGTTAATACAGTCACAAAAAACAGCCATTGTTTAGGAAAGTCTGGGATTCATTATTCTAAATTATGTTTGGTCTTGTAAGTGCCTCACATGATAGTTTATCAGAGTGAAAACTATAGTTTAAGAGTTTCAAAGTATTAAATCTTCATTTTTTTCCATTGTTAGTTACTATCAATCATTGGATACATTCTAATTATGTTATATTTGTTGGCTTATATACTCTTCCTCTCAGAAAAGACATACTAAACCAGGAAGAATGTTAGCATTGAATGGATCATACTTTGACCTATGTAATTGAATGAATTACTGGTTTGAACCTCTCTAAGCTTAGCTACACTTTTGAGAACATTCATGGTAACTCCAAATTGACTCTGTAGACTAAAAGCTAGTTAAAGAGAAAGTGGCCCTTCTTGAATTGAACTTTTAACAAAATAATAAATGATCTTTTTCTAGAAATGATTTGAGGCAAAGAATAATAGTCATAAAAGTAAGTCTTGAATTAAAAGAAAGAAGGCAAAATGTATGGTGTTACTCTACCGGATTCTGAAGTCTTTGGGTAGGAAATATCCCATATGATAATCATTTCTTGTCTTCACAATTTGCTTTTGAAGGTCTTTAGCAGATGTGCTATAACCATTGAAAATAAAGTTGGCAAATAGTAATTTTCCTCGAATGTACATCTGTAAAAAATAATAGAACATTTTCAGAATCTATCATATTAAGTAGTCTTATTTATTTGAAGGATGATCTTATAATTGTTGCTATGAGAAAATATATACATAAAGGAGTATTAGACATAAAACATATTTCTAGAGTCTGAATATATTAAGATAAGGAAACAATCTCAAACAATTCTCATTTGAAGTTATATACATGAATAGCAGAACCAGTAGCTTAACTAGGTCTAAAAGACACATCTGTTCATCATTATGATAAGCCGTCGGGTAGATAAATTTCTTTTTCCAGTTAACATCAGAACAGGGAATTTAAAGTCCATAAACTTGGATTCTGGACATAACTTTAAAATGCAAGCAAACCATTAAACTGTATTGAGCCAAAATTTCCTCTAAGAAAAAAAGTCTAACATTAGGATTTATGAATTGGGCTAGACCTCTACCCTCAGATTCTCTATTTCTTAATAAAGAGATAAAATTGCACTCCATAAAACCAAGCTTGTCATTCAGCTCTAGGGCACAGGAGAGTTTATAAATAAGCACAGGTGAGCAGCTTAAGAAATTTTTTTGGACAGACATTTTTATTTGATGGGGAAAAGTATATTTTATAAAATACTGTAGAAACATCTACCAAACAGATGTACAAAGTGAGTTCAACATTTTAAAAAATGCGATGAAAGCTCTGCTTAATAATAGTTACATTTTTATTTAACAATACTTAATACAGAAAGCCAGCTATTTTGAAATACTGCCCAAAGCATGATGCTGCCTCAATCAAGCACATTATGTTGGTAAAACATCTCTGTATCGTGGGAAATGACTGGAATGACATTTTCTTGCCGAGACAAAACAAAATGCTTGTAAAAACTGAATGTTGTAATTACCTCAATCTCCTGCCACAATTTAATGGGAGCATAGTTTCAACACTTCAAATATGAAGCTTTATCAATGTAAAGTGCTCCTTTTCAGCAAGCACCAATAATAAACAAGTTGAATCTGGTTTCTTCTCTGTAAGGAGCTCTAAAAATGGGTCCAAAAATACCTGTAAACTTTTATTTTTTTTTTTTTGTCAGTGTGAATGCGCTAAACAGCTTTATTTTTTTTTAATTTTTTTTTTTGTGCTCAATAAATTTTAATTATTATTATTTTGACTTTTTTTTTTTAATAAATTTTATTGTTATATTCCCCATACAATTGCAGCCCCCCCATTCTGACCCCAATCCCTCCCCTCCCACCCCCGCCCCCCTAAAAGTGTCTCTGGTTCATAGTTTTTTGTTGATTTTGATTTTCACTTTCTTATAGTTATTCTTTTTCCTGGTCCCTTATTTAAGTTTTCTAGATTCCTGCTATGAGTGAGACCATCCGGTATTTTTCTTTTTCTTTCTGGCTTATTTCGCTGAGCATGATCCCTTCCAGCGCCATCCATGTTGCTGCAAATTGCATGTGTTTATCTTTTTTGAATGCTGAGTAATATTCCATGGTATATATGTACCACATCTTCTTGTAATACCTGTAAACTTTTAAATGCTGATTATTTTGCATAACAGCAGCAATCCAGGATTGAACATGGGTCTTGGCTGAATCTGGTTAAAGAATTAACAATCACTCCCTAGTAATGCCCTAGTATAATGTAAAGACTGACATAGCATATTTTCCTCTAACAATTCTCTAAAGCTTAGCTAAGAAGCATCTCATCTGATGTTCACGTAAAGTTAAATAAATCAACAGGTCATAAGATGTGCAAACTTAGGAGCACTCGGTAAGTATTAGTTATCCAGGTTAAGCTTGTAATATAATAACCAGTGATCAGAGGGATAGAATTAGGATATGTCACATGTAAACCAGAGTAGACAGTTTCAAAGAAAACATAATGAACAGTACAAAATGATAGATGTCAAGAAAGATCAAACAAACTTGGACTTGACAACTACAAGGTCGAATAATGGTTGACAGACTGATGCCAAATTATCCTGGATTGAGAACGTTTTGTTAAGCTCTTTTTGGGTTTTCAGGATCAGGTCTCCTGCTGTTTCAGCTTTTATGGTGCTCCAAAACAGGATTGAACCTGAGAGGATATGCTGAAGTACAGCAGAGAGAGAACACTTAGTGTGGAATCAGAACAACTGGCTTTGTATCGCTGGTCTTCCATCACTTAATGTCTGTGAATACCTCCCAAAGTTCTAGTTCCCTTACTCTTTGAGAATGATTATTCCTATTTTACAAAGTCAATGACAGATTTATGTGAAGAGTAAGCATAATAGTCATTAATTATTATCACCATAATAAATGGTTCTATTCTGACTCTTCATCTTGTTCTAACTTTCAACTCAATAGAGCTTCTGTATACCAGGTCTTGTGAAATGGAGTGTTCCCATTGAAGACACTTAGCTTACGGGTTTGCAGTGATTATAAGGTGAGATTAACACGTGGAATGCGTATGACAGTTTTGGCTGCCGTTGTATTCTAATGGACAGGTTTTGCCTGACTTCCAGGTGGTACCTCTATCTTCATCAATTCTGCTTTCTGAGCCACTGCATTCTTCATAGTATGTAATTGCCAGCTTCCCCATCCTCAGCTGTTGCTATAAGAAGCAAATGCTTAATATTCTCATTGACAATATTAGTGAATCTTTTTGGTTCACAGATAAGAGAATCCACTTAAATGAGTTGTTCTTCAGTAAGATTCTTCTGTAAGATTTCTTCCGTAAGATTTCTTTTGTGTTCAATAAACAGAACGTGGGGCTCCCACTGAGTTCCTACAAAGATGCTTTCAGTAGGCTAACTGTCCAGTCCTGATCACTTTCACCCTTCAAAGTCACATTGCAGGACAGATGAAAGTCATGTTTATTTAATCTGGTTGGTGTCCTGTTATATGACTCCTGGGTTATTCTTTTTTTGTAATATTATGCATCCCAAGATACCATATGAATGAATACATTTTGAAAATACAATAAAGTCTATAAAGAATACCTGAATGGCTCAAAAAATCCAATGAGCTATGATTTTACAGGATTTTATTTGTTAATGATGATGGTAACAAAGAATTTTAAACTCAATGCACATTTATTGAGTGGCCTGCTTTATACAGGATATAACAGTCACCCTGTTAGAAGTATTCTCATTTCAGAGATAAGAGAAGTGGCTCTCAAGTAAGTTAAATATCTAGCCCAAGAATCCAAGCCTCTTACCGAGAAAAAATAATCGAGTGTGTTCTCCAACAAGACTCTGACTTCAAATTAGATATTTGTTCTATGGATTATATTAGCTGTATCTTATTTTCTTGTATAGTCCCCCACACAGGGACATATATTTCCATGTATACACTCATGCATGCACACAGGAAGTCTAATTACCACTTCAAGTAGCATAATCCCCTCAACCCACCTTCAGTTTAATCATAGAATTCCTAAAGAACTCAATTAAATGGGCAATTAGTTCCTCCATACATTTTTCACTCCCATATTGAAGCCTATCTTTATTTGTTTAGATATTCTCCCCTACTTACTTATAAGGTTGGTGCGAGGTCTTTATGCAAAAGCACTTTGTAAGCGGAAAGCATATGATTGTTATTTAGTTGTAGATTACAGTCTATGTCCCATTTTACTGGTTGAACCCTTTTGGTGGTGAGAGATTAAATGTTTAAATTATACTGATTATAACATTATTCCAGGAATTGAATTGAGTGGAATTGAAAGACTTCTAAACAACTCAAACCAAGCAAACAGTCCCTGATTTGCTCTCTCAAACTAAATATATTAGCCTTGTGGTGGCCAAATATTGACTTAATGACTAAATGAAAGAGAAGAGATTCTATTACCCTCTAAAGCTCTTACAGTTAACCTAAATTAATGTCCCCAAATGCTTCCAGACAGCAACTTTCAGTTAACTGGAAAAATGGTAAAGGGGTATGTGTTAATAAAGTAAGTAGAGATTTTATGACACTCTTTCCTAGGAATCCTAGGATTTACAAAAACAAAGAGGCCGTCATTTTCCATTGCCTGCCTATGCACTATATCCCAGTGCTGCCAGCAGACACTACATGTTCCCCATTTGGACTGTGAGTCAGGACACCTGGGTTCAAATCTCAACTCCACTTCTCAGCTGTGTGATCTTGTAGCCTCAGTTTTCTTGTGTGTGAAATGCAAAGAGTCATAGCATTGTTGTCATGATCCAGGGAATTATTTACATGAAAAGGCCTGATTCTCGGCAGATAGTCTCTTTGGGTCTCAAGTGTCTTTTTCGCTGGAAAATTCCTCTAAGTCTTGCCCCTTGCATAATCAAAACCCTTCTGCTGGATGTTGATTCACTGACTTGTTCCAGCCGCTGCCTGGGGGGTTCTACGTTTGCCTGATAAGGTGGCATAGGAAGGTAAGGGAACAGAGAAGCAGGGAAGGATTGGGAAAGTGAGAGGGCCACTGCAATCATCTCTACTTCTTGTTTATAGCACTTTCCTATCAATGAGCCAGAAGGTAAGTTGCTTGGAACACTTGTCTGTGGAATGTCAAGTTACACCTTCCCTCGCCTCCCCAGAAAAGGGTTCTTTAGTTAATGATAGGGAATTTGGACAAAATTAATTTGAACAAAATGGAATGTATCTCTTTAAAGAAGAGAGAAAGACAAAACATTATGAATATTTACTTATAAGCTACCATAACATTTACAGTAGTTCTATAGCTTGTCATAATGTAGTTGAGTTTCTCAGGCTGTTTACTAAGAAGGTCAAAGAACTTTCTGGTAATATAGGTTTGTAATGGTTCCAAGGACTGTTGTCTTGTATCCATGAAATCATAAATATTTGTATTTGGAGAGTGCATTTGTTAAAATGATATTTGTTTACTTAATATTTAAACTTTATTTGTTTAAGAGATTGATTTTTACCGAACAAATGAGATAATTTAGCTTCACCAACTTTATTTTGTAGCTTCTCTAGACTCTAACTGGTTGCCTGAATTTTTTCTAAAGATTTATTTTCTTTATCTATGCTTACAAGAACTGGGGTACAGGCCA